CAATGGGACAATGGGATTATAAATGAATCTGCCAGAATAAATAGAACTAATTGTAGTCAAAAACATTTAAAATTCTCAAAATAATAAAAGTGAAAGTATTCTAACAATAGTATTGAAAAATTTAAAATCTTGAATGCATTTCTCGAATTGTGATTAACGTATTGCATCGCTGTGTGTGAGTTGTTCTAAATTTAGTTTTAATTATTTTATTTTGATTACATTATTAGTGACTAATATTGAAATGAATGAATGTTTGAATTAAAAAACGAAAGATAATTTTTTAGTTATAAACAGATTTTAATTTTGACAAAACATTAATTCTTATTTTGAATGTTTGTTCAACACATGGAAACATGTGAAGCCCGAGGCTATCAAATATGAAATAGTGGTCTCAATGTTGAGATGAGTTGAATACATGATAGAGTATATTGGATGCGAACCAGGATCTAAGAAAGTGACCCTAAACTCGGTTGAGACAACTAAAGGCATAAATGGCCCGAAGGCTCACTAAATTGAAAGCAAAATTTTGCCTCTCTTTTGGATCGTTTGCTTTTCTACTAATTCTTTAATAGACTATGAAATAAGAACTCTATTCAACACTAATATCAATACACAATACTTTCTTATTCTTTCAATATTTATTCTTTTTTTAAATTTCCATTTCATCGGTATTTACATTCAATTCATACTTTTGTTTGTGTTTTTATTTGTCATTTAATAAATGATTACAATATTGTGATACATTTGAAGTGTTTATTTTGCATTTATTGATAGCTATATGTGTAGAATTGGGTGACTATTATGTCATTTAAAATAGCTTTTGAAGTGATTTAGCGAATAGTTTTATGGCATTCAAACCACATATTTACAACTTGTCGTTAATCGTATTTTAGCGCCCACTGTATGGCATAGAGATTGGGGAACATGTGGTGTTGAAATTGAAACACTGGTTAATAGTATCATAAATTTGATTGATTTTATTGTTTCGTTTATTGTAATGGTATAACAGGTGGAAGAATATGTTGTTTCTCTCCGTGTGTAGAACAGGTGCAGAAGACCTGTGCGGCGCTCTATGACAACCACTTCTTTGATATCGAAACTTATGAATGCGTTCTCAGACCCTATGAAGTGAAGACTCAATCCATGCCTTTGTATCCGTTCTCATCGAAGACCGTAATTATTAATTCACTTTTTATCTTTGTTTTGATAATTAATTGCTTTTTATATATACAGAACTATAGCCAACAAAATGCTGTAATAAGTGAATCAATTGATAAGAAATCGGATGAAAGTGTAGCTAAAAAAGTGAAAACCGAAAGCATTTTAAACGATAAGAGCGATACCGTTATGGAGAAGATAAGCACTGATCACGTATTGACGTATTTGCCAAACCAGGGCACGGGTCACACCGGCTTTCTTACGGTTGCCGTCAAATATGATTAAATGACACATTCATTGGATTTTGAATT